TTGCAGATGCCTTGATAGTGTCGTGTAGGATTACCTAATATTTTTTTTTTTTTTTTTACTTTTAGAATATGTAATGACAGGCTTTACTTGATTTACTGACTGGCCCTGCAGGTTGTCCCAAGCTTCCAAAGAAAAAGAACAGTTCTTGGAGACACTTTTTGGCTTGAGTTAATGAGTTGTCACATATTATGAGACGAACATCCTTTATTAGTAGATTATAACTGGAATTGGGATGGAAATATTTGATTTTTTTTTTTTAATAAAATCAAGTGGCCCCAGTCCTAAAAGCTTTTTGAGTAGGGTATGCTCCTCATTAAGGGGCATCATATTCCTCAATTTCACAATTTATATAAAGGGTTTTGCTAAACTAGTACAAGATTAAGATGGTACTCCACATTGGCTATCATGTTATAAAGAAGCAAAATTTTGAGTGATTGAACAGTGTAGTGTATCCATTACGTCTTTTTAAGTCCTGACAACTCAACCCAAAGGCTAATCAAAGTTAAAGGTGAAGGGGGAAAAAGGAAGGGAATATTTCTCTCTCTCTCTCTCTCTCTCTCTCGTTAAAAGTGAAGGGGGAAAAAAGGAAGGGAATATTGCCCTCTCCTCTCTCTTCTCCTCTCAATTAATTTCATAAATCAAGAATTTATCTTAAAAAGTTAGAGAAACTTTGGTTCTCACAAAAGTTAGTCGCCCACAACAAATCAACGTTGAAGTGTGTTTTTTTATCAAACCAAACCAAATTCTTGTGTACCCTTTTCCTCTTATTTGTGCTTACAGTTTTTTGGTATACCACAAATAAGTTTGGGCTATAGCAAAAGGTCCTGGGCCTAGGCCTGAAACTATAAAGATTTCAGGGTCCGTTAGCGTTTTTTTTTTTTCTTTTTTTTTTCAGTTCCATTAGCACAAACACTTTGAAGCCCATGATGGTGACGGATTTAGGCTGCAAAGATCAATATGCTAAAAACAATAGCTTTTGGTAGTTTGTGTTATTATCCAATCTAAGGCAACAATTTTTGGTGTGCCAACTTTTTCTGTTATATTTCCAGGGTTTTTTTTTTCACTTTCTTGTTGGGTATTTGTCAGGGCTATTACAATATCTATAGGCCCGTTTGTTTGGGTTATGAGAAGGAGATTGAGTTTGATAGTGAGGAGAGATTGAAAATGAAGTGTTTGTTTTGAGAGATAGGAAGGCCCCATTTGTTTTGGAGATAGAATAGAAGGGATTGATAGTGAGGGGATTAATAATGAGGGGATTATTAATGAAGGGATTGATAGTGAGGGGATTAGTAGTGAGGGATTGATAGTGAGGGGATTAGTAGTGAGGAATTGTTAAATTATTTTTATATAAATAATAAAACAAATAAAAAAATATAAAAAATTAAAAATTATATTTTAAAAAAATTTCCCATATATAAAAAATAAAAAATTTCTAATCCCCTCACTATTTTTTTAATACCATCTCTACCTCCTCCTTATCAATCCCCTCTCCAAGGGTATTAGTAATACCAAGGGACTAATAGTCCCAAGGCCTTCTCCCAAACAAACAAGCCTATTACTAATACCTTGGTATTACCAATCCCAATACCCTCTTTTTCACCCAAAACAAACGGGGCCGAAAGGAATTAGTAATCCCTTGGTATTAGTAAGGAGGAGGAAGAGAGATTGGTAAAGAGGAGGTAGAGATGATATTAGAAAAATAATGAAGGATTAAAAAAAATTTATTTTTTTATTTTTTATATATTGAGAATTTTTTTTTAAATATAATGTTTATTTTTTATATTTTTTTATTTATTTTATTATTTTATATAAAAATAATTTAACAATTCTTCACTATTAATCCCCTCATTATCAATCTCCTCCATTCTATCTCCCAAAACAAACGGAGCCATATGTGCAGTTAGTTGTTGCCTTTGGTTGATAGTGTCATAGGTTTTTGGTCGGGGTAATGCTAGGGACACCAAATTTTTTACCATACAAATGACCAAATGTCTCACGGGTCCGCAATTTTGTGGGCCCCACACCCATGTGAGACATTTGATCATTTATTTGGTAGAAAATTTGGGACCTCTAGCATTTTCCTTTTGGTCGTCTTAGGTTAGGAGTTCCTCTCCTCTTACTATTTTTTCTTATCTCTCTCATGTACAAATTTTGCAGTGATGAAAATAAACTTTTCCCATAAAAAGAAGGGAAATAAAAAGTGTGCGATTATTGCTTGGAAAACTAAAACGTCTGCATTATACTTCAATTATCATCATTATCATCATCAATAAAACATAATCATCCCCACTTTCCCTTCGGAGACTTGACATTACACAAGTTCAATAAGGTGCAATTGCTTCTGCATGTTGCTAAAACTAAGCCACCCATAACAACTCAAATATACATCCAACCAAAAAATTATGTCAGCATCTGAACAAAATAAAGTGGGGTTGATATGCTTGCCTGTTGAAGGATGCACTAATTCACAAGCTGGTTTAATCAACGCTAGATAGTTGATTTCATCATGAACACGATCCATCTTCACAATGGTTGAGGCTGTGGATCAGGAGGAAGTGACAAGAAAAACCAATGAATCATCTCAAAGCTGGTGAATGTAATTACAGTAGCTGGGATAGTCCTGAGCAGGTTGGTGGCACACCCACGATAAAAACCACGGATGCCCTCTTGCTGATATATTTTCTTAATGCAGTCAATGACTCCAGAGTATTGGTTTCTCGGAGTGGTGCCCTTGCCCTTGCCTTGTTCTTGTAGCCTCGAGCGTACTACCTGCAAATAGGTTGTGAGAATAAATTGTTCTAGTCAGTCATAGTTTTAAGCAGGCACTGTAGCAAGAAAGATCCATGACTAAATACATATTCTCATTTATTGAACATAGAAAGTCGTTAAATGATAGATTTTGTTGAGAAAGTTGTTAAATGGTGGATTTTAGGGCCTGTTGGGTGCAGCTTCTAGCAAACTAAAAACTAATAATCAAAATGTAGAAACTAAAAGTTATGTTACCAAAAAATGCTAATATTCTAGCGAATTACGTATTGGTACATACATTTCAAAATATGGTACACTTGCTTTCCAAAACGGTAAATTTAGCGATCTAAAACGATTCCAAAAGGTTTTTCAATAAATATCCTTAAATGTTTCCTTAGGAGGAAAAATCAAATATAATGAATTAAAATCTAAGGAAGTCAAGTTTTGACAAAACAAAACTTAGAAAATGGGTCATAGTACACAAAGAAATATTTTGCTACATGAAGAACAAAAACTAAATTTTATTAAATGCTTAATAGTCAAAGAGAAAATTACTTTAAAAGTACCTTAAATTTGCGAGGATAATATACAAATTTACCTCTATCGTACCACACTTTAGAGCATGTGGCGTACCACGTTCCCGTTCCGTGTACCGGAACAATCGTGGAGCTGTCGATCAAAAAAACAATTTTCACCCAATTAATGTGCGTCATATTGACTTCACCTATAGTATGGGTAGTGCTTTTATTAATTGGAGAATTCCATATTAATGTAGTGAGTTGATATTTAAAGACTATGAAATAATTACGTTTTACAAGGCTATTTTTTCTTAAAAGAATTGTTATTTAAAATGGTCCTCTCTAACACTCACAAATGGCAAAAGGTGATTAAAACTAATTTATTCATGAGGCTTGATCAAATGTGCATGGCATAAATCACACACATGGTGTGAGATTTTGAAGCACTTGTTATAAATATAGATCCTTCATTTATTTTTTTAGAGCCATTAGTTAATTTGATAATTTTTCTTCTACGTTTTCTTTGAATAGCAATGTTGCCTTGAAATAGGGAATTGATATTCATACTTGCAATTTTTTATAATCACCGACATCATATAGGAGGCGTTTGAAAGGGGGTGTTGAGGAAAAAAAAAAAAATAGAACGCAATACTGACAATACTATATTTGTTCTTGGTAGAGTGTGAATTTCATCCAAGTATTTACTCACTTTTTTTTATAATTATTTATATTTCTTATGTTTTACTCTGAATGTTAAAATACATAATAACTTGTTATAATATGTAGTTACTTGTTATGAATGAAAGGAAAGAAAATAATCAATCATCTTTCATCATAATTTTGTGGGTTCGAAAAGTGTAAAGCCACCAAAAGAAATTGGAGTGCATTGTTTTCATGATTTATTGGGTATGTCTAATTGATCCAACCAAAAATATATTAAAAAAATACCAAGCATACGATGGTATCTCCGTGTCTCCTCTCTCTCTTCCGTTTTAGTTTGTTACATTTTTTAAACTCAATTGAATATTAAACTGAACCTTCCAACAACTAGCACCACCTTGTGAGGAATGAATGGACTAACAACTAGAAAGTTTGATTTTCTTAACAAACAATACTTGAAGTTTAAAACAAAGATTAGGGATTATTTAGCAATGACTTTTTGATTAAAAAAATAAAAAATAAAATAAATTAATAAGATAAAATGTCACATTCAAATTATAATTATTTTATTTTTTTTCTTACAGAAGTTTAAAAAATAAAAAAATTAGATCAAACAAATTTTTAATCTCAAATTAAAATAATTAAAAAATCAAAAAAAATTAATTAAAATAAACTAACTAACATTTTTTTGAACGCACCAGATTCAATGGAGACTTTTATGTAATGCTTTATTCTTTGCTGGTATTGGGTGGGTGTCAGCTTTCCGGAGAGACTTGGCTTTCAATTCTTCTATCTTAGCCATCAAGAGAGAGAGAGAGAGAGAGAGCGCGCGCCTCCTTCCACCTTGTGGCCAACCCAAAAGCATGAATCATGATTGTAACAGGTATTGGTAAGAATCAACTTTTGAACCCAAAAAGAAAAAAAAAAACTGTTTTGATTTAAGATTTGTAGAAAAAAGAAGTAAATGGTGAATAAAGTAAAAATTATCAATATTATTAGATACATATTTTACACCCAAAAATATATTTATAATAATGTGACAAAGATGGTGGATCTTAGGTCTCGTTTGAGATGTAGGTTAGTTTTTTGACTTTTTAACTATTTCAGTCTAAGGCTAAAAAGTCTTGTTTGGGATAAGTTTTTTGATTTTTTTGACTTTTGTGAAAGAAAAAATAAAATAATTATGGTTTAGATGTGACATTTTGTGTTATTAGATTAAAAAGTCTATTTTATTTTTTTATAACTATTTTAATCAAAAAGCCTCAAAACCTTTTATGCCAAATGAAGGCTTATATAGTTGAGTGTATGACCAATAAAAAATTGACATTTGTCAAAACACATCATTATGAAATTTTTTTGAGAATCTCAAACATTTTCTAAAAATTATTATTATTATTTTTCACTTTCTTCCCTTTTTTTTTTTTTTCCTCGTCACAAGTCTGTTTACAAATTCAATATCCAAATATATGGTTAGTTACACTTGGCGCACTGGCACTATCATTAAAGTTTCACTTTGGTCAATCAAATTAGGTCTTGCCTAGTTGGCCGCTACGACTTTCTTAAGTGTTTAGTCCCTATGGGAGGTCCTGAATTCAACTCTCTTTAGAAATAGTTGAATTAAGGAGACAAGCACTTAGCCATTTGTAAATGGTGGGGAGGCTAAATCTCATATATGCTGCTAATCTAATAATTAACAATTGACTTTTGCTAATAAAACAAAAAAAAAGTTTCACACTTTAGTCAATTCACTTTCAATTATGATAGTCAATCATGTTTATTTTAAAACAAGTTATAATATCACTATTTTGTTCATTTATCATAAATACAATTGATGAAACTTATGAGCCATATGTGAGATTTTTCTCATTTCATTAACACTTTAATACTGTCATAGAAATCTACTTTAGTTCTTATATTTTTATCAAAATCTTACTTTGACTTTTTTACTTTTAATCTTCATAGGTTTTATTAATGATAAATAAATAAAAGAGTTACATTATAACTTGAATTAAGTAAAAAAGATTTATTATTACAATTGATAAGGAATGAAACCAAAGTAAAATTTTAAGCTCTATATGCACAAATGACAAATGGTTGTGTTGTTGACTGAGCATTGGAAACTGTTCTTTGCCCACAAGGTCCAAAGTTATTTCCTTGAGAATTGATTCCATTCATTCACTTTCACCCTTTGCAAAACAATGAAAGTGGCTTGGTGCAGGATGGTTGTTCATCACATGGATCATCCATCATACCCGTCATTTCTCACCTCACTACCAAAAAAGAAGCAGGGTAGTATAGTAATTCAACAAAGTGCATCTATTGACAAAAGAGAAATTGTTATTTACACCCTACAAAACATCTCAGTATAGACAATTTTTTTCATCCGAATATCAATAATTTTGCTGTTGACTTTTGTTGTTGATATTTGAATAATTGATTTTTGTTCAATTATTAATATTTAAACGTACAAAATAATGTGATTTGAAAAAAAATACAAGGGAATGATGACAAAGGATGCTATATGTCGGAGTCTCTTTCTCTAAGAATATGACTCTAGCTGCTTCCAACGGCACTAACAGTGATCAAAGTATGAAATCCATAGAAGAACAAGATCATCTCTCTCGAAGTACTAAGAAACTAAAAGCTCATGGGGGTGATGAAGATGACAACATGGCCGAGTCTTCATTAGCTATTGAAGGACCAACGGATTTCTTGAATAATTTTGACACTAACTCAGGGGCTCCAAATCTATCGAAGCCTCAAGCCCTGAAATCTTTCAAGGAGGCACTTACTAACAGAAGCTACAATGAGCAAGCATTTGATGATGATCTTAATCGTTTATCCACGGATGAAGACGAGTCGGAGACAGAGGCTATGGAAGAGGAACTATGTGATGATGAGCCAGATCTGGGGATTCCTCAAATCAAACTTCCCAAAAACCTTCTGAGTAAGATTAGGAGGCCTTGGAAAGATTGTTTCATTGTGAAACCGCTTGGGAAAAGTATAGGTTACAAACTGCTTACTTTGAAAGTTAGGAAAATTTGGGACCTCCAGGGAGATTTTGAAGCAATTGATTTGGGATTAGGGTTCTTTCTCTTCAAATTCCAAATGAATGATGATTATACGAAAGTCTTATCAGGGGGGCCATGGATTATTTTGGACCACTACCTCACTGTACGAAAATGGTGCCATGATTTCAAGCCATCTCATGTGAGAGAAGTCACCACTGCTATTTGGGTCAGATTTCCTCAACTACCCATAGAATATTACATTGAGAAGGTGCTTTACCACATTGCCAAATCCATTAGCAAGCCCCTGAAAATTGACATCAACACAGCAACGTCAACGAGAGGAAAATTTGATAAGGTTTGCATAGAAGTTAATCTGAGCCAACCTTTAACAACTTATTTTGCTATAGGTAAGTACACTTACGGGATTGAATATGAACACCTCCATTTCTTTTGTTTTAATTGCGGACATGTGGGTCATCGGAGGGATCGTTGCAGCGCTGCTCCGGTGAATCCTTCCGGCGACATCGTTCCAGAGAAGGAGTCTGTTCAAAATTTGACCGTTGGGAATGAGAAGGAGAGTAGGCCCAGTTGTAGTGAGAGTGGTAAGGCCCACTCAAATGACCCACGATCGGATCAACCTTCAGAAGGCTTTGGCCCATGGATGTTGGTTAGTAGGAGAAGCCTAAAACATAGCTATGCCAACAAAAAAGAGGCCCGATCAAGATCTAGAGAAAAAGCCCATGGCAAGGGGCCTAGTAAGCAGACTTAATATAACCGTTGGGTCATGAACGGAACCAAGTCTTCTACGATAAACCAGATTCCTCAAGATCGCCAAACTGGCACCAGTATTGTCTCTACAAAAAATACTATTGCTCAAAACCCATCCACAGCTTTGGCAAGCACAGATGATTTGATGGAAGGAGTAGCCTCAGAGAGTACAGAGTCACGTGCAGCTCCAAGTTCAGAGGTGCCATCCTCATCCGTTAAACCCTTGGTCCATGATACACAGTAACATACGATAACTACCAAGAAACCCCCTGATCCTCCCCCCTCTCTGCCTGTGTCTGTTAAATCTTCCAACCCAGAAGTTCTACCCAGTTATGGCGATTCCAATGGAAAACCAGCACAGTATCAAGGCTTGCATGATCTATCTTGTTTTCGATCAAGAGAGAGAAGCCACTCACCTAGTAAGCTTAGACTGGTGGATAGGCGAAGCTCGCCTCTTAATCAAGAAAGAGGAGATGAACCATTATGGCATCCACCACACCATAGTTAGAGTGAGTTCTCTGAACTTGGATGTCTTCGATCGGATGACAGTAAAGAAGATTCTAGGTATTCCTGATTTTACCCATTTTCCTGACTTCCCAAATTCTGTCTCAATAAAGTTGCTTATATGGAACTGTCATGGAGCCGGTAACAAAGTTTTTAGAAGAACCATGAAGGAACTTGTGAAAAACCATAAACCTTCTATTATTGTTCTGATGGAAACCAAAATTGATCTTAGCTCAATGGGTCAATTTTTTAACAAGTTGGAGTTCACTGCCTCTTCCCATGTTGACCCTGTTGGTAAGAGTGAGAGCATTTGGGTGCTTTGGGACCCTTTCAAGGCTACGGTGAAAGCCCATGAGGCTAATGCCCAGGTTATCTATGCTAAAAGTCAACAGGATAACCATGCTGATTGGATTATGTTTGCGGTTTATGCAAGCCCGATTCCTAGGAATCGTGACCTTTTGTGGGATAACCTTGAATCTGTCTCTGATAACATGAACTTGCCCTGGCTTGTGGCTGGAGATTTCAACGACATAGCTTCTTAAGAGGAAAAGATAAGTCTTAGCCCAAACCTCTCCTTTACTTGAACTCGCAAGTTTAATGCTCGACTGAATAGGTGCAACCTGATGGATCTTGGGTGCTCAGGGCCCCAACTCACTTGGTCCAACGGAAGGTAAGGCCTGGCTAATACTTTGGAGAGACTCGATCGTGCTGTTTGCAACTCTGAATGACGTGTTGCTTTCAGTGAAGGTGCAGTTCGGAATCTTCTCAGAACCTACTCTGACCACTCTCCTTTGATAGTGTACACGCAAGGTATGGACCTCCCTAACTTCTTAGCTAGGCCTTTCAGATTGGAGGCTGTTTGGCTTACTGATAATACCTTCAAAACTATTGTTGAAAATTCCTGGGTTGTTGATAACAACTCTATTATTGATACATTGAATTTGTTTACTAAAAATATTTATGCTTGGAACAAAAATCATTTTGGCAACATGTTTCGGAAAAAAAGATGGTTTCTTGGCTGTATTGAGGGCATCCAAAAAGCCCAATCCCTTGTTTATTCCCACAACCTGTTTTACTTGAAAAGGAACTTGTTAGAGATTATAACAATATTTTGTACCAAGAAGAGTTATTGCGGTTTCAAAAGTCCAGGGCTAACTGGATCACCACGGGTGAGAAGAATACGGGGTATTTCCATATCTCTACCATTACGAAAAGGAGGAGGATGAGAGTGGTTACCTTGAAAGATCATGATGGTGGGTGGATTTCTGATCCCATTGACCTCAAAAACCATGTTCATAACTATTTTTGTAACTTGTTTAAGAAAGGTACCAGTCATTCTTAGTGTATTGGCATTGACCCTCTGCATCCTAAAATTAGTTTGGAAGCCAATAGATCCCTCGTTAAGCCTATCTCTGGTACGGAAGTGTGGACTGCCATTAAAAGTGTTAAAGCCTTTAAGCCCCTGGTAGCGACGGTATCCCTTCCATCTTCTACCATAAGCACTAGGACATTGTTGGACCTTCTATCTGTAAGTTTATCCAGAGTTATTTTGCCAACAAGCACATCCCAGACAGCATGAATAAAACTCTCCTCACCCTTATACCCAAAGTTGATAACCCTAAATCAATTACCCAATTCCGCCCATTAGCCTTTGTAATGTTCTCTACAAAACTCTCACTAAAGTTCTTGCTAATAGACTTCAACCCCTCTTGACCGATATTGTCCGACCTTTCCAAAGTTGCTTCATTCCTAGACGTACCACTAGTGATAATGTTATCATTGCCCAGGAGATCCTACACACTCTTCGTGGTAAGAAAGGTAGTAAAGGTGATATGATTCTCAAAATTGATCTTGAGAAAGCTAATGACAATGTGTCTTGGAACTTTTTATATCAAACCTTAATTAATCTTGACCTTAATGACCATTGGGTTGATCTCATCATGAATTGTGTTACAAATGTTTCTGCTTCCATTTTGTGGAATAGGGAAAAACTTGAGGAATTTTGTTTTGAGAAGGGCTTGAGACAAGGGGATCCCTTATCTCCTTACCTCTTTGTGTTATACATGGAAAGACTTTCAAATATGATCCTTGAGAAAGTCCACAACAAATCTTGGAAAGGAACTAAAGCCTCTTCCAGAGGCCCTATGTTTCCCATCTCTTTTTTGTTGATGATCTTTTGTTGTTTGGGAGAGCGGATGAAAAGATGTATAGCACTATTATGGGGGTGCTGAAGGAGTTCAGTGAGCTCTCGGGCCTTAAAGTGAGCCTTCATAAATCTAAACTTTTTGTCTTGCCCAATGTGGGGATCCAGAAAGCTAGAGTTTTGAGTAATTGTTGTGCTATCTTGCTTACTCAAGATTTGGGTAAGTACCTGGGCATTCCTCTGCTACATAGTAGATGCAACCGTGCTCATTTCAGTCATATAACTGAGAGGATTCAGATCAAATTGTCTAGGTGAAAAGCTAAAATGCTTTCCTTGGCTGGTAGGGCCACCTTAATCCAATCTGTCACCTCTACCCTCCATTCATATACTATGCAAACTCTTGATTTACCTATGAGTATATACAGGGACATTGACAAACTTAATCGCAATTTTCTCTGGGGTGATTGTGATAATAGCAAAAAGGTTCATCTCATGAATTAGGATATGGTCTGTAATAGCAAGAAGATAGGAGGACTTGGTCTAAAAAAAGCCAAAATGGAGAACCTGGCGCCCTATAAAAAATGGGGTGGAAATTGTTATGCAATGATACTAGCCGTTGGGTGCAAGTCCTAAGGGAGAAATATCTCCGCAAGGAGTCTCTAATGAATTGCTCTTCTAAAAAAAGGTCTTCTCACACATGGAGAGGCATTCTCAATACTAGAGATATCTTGAGGAAAGGTATCCAATAGGAAGTGGGTGATGGCATTACCATATCCATCTAGTTTGACTGGCGGTATAGAGATAAAACTCTGGCAACTAATTTCCAAACCACCAGCTTACAAACCATGATACGGTGAATGTTCTTATGGATGAAGAGGGCAATTGGGATGTGAATCACATCCAATCACATACTCCTAGTAATGCCATTGTTAGTGTTCTGAAAATTAAACTTGCTCATTTTGTTACCTTTCCTGATAGCCCTTTTTGAAAGGGTGCTTTCGGAGGGTTTTCTACTGCGGCTGCTTATAAAGTTGCCTCTGGGCAGCTTGAATGTAATTTGGAGTTTGAGTGGTTGTGGAAAATTAAAATTCCCCATAAACTGAAAGGTTTCCTATGGCTGTTTTGTCATGGGAGACTTTTAACCAATGCTATGAGAAAGAATAGAGGCATGGCTTTGAATGCAAACTGTCCCAAATGCACTTCGCACACCGAGGATATGGGCCACTTGCTACGCGGTTGCATTGTTTCTAAAAATATTTGGAACAATATTGCTGGCCAACAATGGGTGTCAACCATTAACCATCTTAACATGGTTGATTGGATAAAGAAGAACTCGAAATCTCACAGGAGGAGTGATCCTCACTGGTGCCGTGTTTTTATCGTGATCCTTTGGCAGATTTGGAAAGATAGGAATAATAAAGTTTTTGATAATTTTGACTCTTCTGTTTCGAATGCCTATAGCCATATTTTTCATTATGTTGAAGAGATAAACCAAACTTTCTTATCTTCTATTGTCTATGCTTATAAACCTGTTGATGAGTTTAAATGGTACCCTCCTTTTGCAGATAAACTAAAATTAAACACTGATGGTTGTGCCCGGGGAGATCCAGGAGAAGGAGGATTCGGAGGCCTCATTCGCGATGAAGCTGGCATGTGGCTGTGCAATTTTTTTGGGAAATTAGAGACGTGCTATAGTTTGGAAGCGGAAATGTGGGGCATCTATAGAGGCCTTACCATCGTGCTCGAGAAAGGACTTGCCGAAGTTGTCATTGAGATTGACTCCATCATCGCTCAAGAGATGATCACTAACGGGCCACCCCCAAACTACCCGTATAGAGCTATTGTGGAAGATGCCCGTCATCTCCTCCAGTGATGCAACTGTTCCATCCAACACATTATGCGTGAGGCCAATCAATGTGCAGACAACTTTGCCAATATGGGTGTAGATCAAGTTGAGCACTTGGTTGTTATGGAGGAACCTCCTCCAGAAGTTGGAAGCTTAATTGTAGCGAACATGGTGGGTACGGTGTATCGAAGGATCTAGCCTCCCTACCTCCTCCACCTTTTGTTTGTTTTGTTCTGTTTTAATTTTCGATGTACCAAAAAAAAAGAAAGAAAAAAAAGTACAATAGAAACTCACGACAAAGGGTTATGTGAAGTCCGTATGTTATGATGTGATTTACAGTCTGGCTGGCACAAATTAAAACACAATTTTGCTGCAATAAAAAGTAAATGTGATTCAGGAATCTAATCATGTCATGAGCAACTGCATATGTAGATGGGCTAACAACACCATGTGAAATAAAGTCTATTATTCACAAAAGTATGGCCACTATGCATGGCTGAGAAGAAAG